ACATTTATAAAGCACTTACCATGTATTTATTTTGTTTAATAATAATAATAATAATAATAATAGCTAACATTTATAAAGCACTTACCATGAGCCAGACACTATGCTAAGCTTTTTATACTTACTACCTCATTTGATCCTCACAACTACCCTAGGAGGCAGGAATTATTATTATACCCATTTTAAGTGACTTGTCTAGGGTCACACAGCTAGTGTCTGGGGCTAGATTTGAACTGAGGTCCTCCTGATTCTAAGCCTCCGGCTATATGTACTCACTGCTTATTTACTGCGTTCTCTAATAGAATGTAAGTTTCTTGAGGGCAGGAGCTGGCTCATTTTGTCCTTGGCTGGCACACAGAATTTATAAAAGGACTGATCCTGATTGCTGATTGATAACTAAACATGGCATTAACTGTAGAACAGGGGAGAAACAGATGTCCTTTAGCAAAGATGTTAATATAATAGACCTCCCCTCACCCCCCCAGCAAAAGTCAAAGAAATTACGAAAGAAGGAAACTCTTCTTACCCCGAATTTCCTTCTTCCCCAGCTGCTGGGACCAGTAGCTACCAAGAACGGCATGGGCAGACCCTTGACGAAAATAGAGAGAGCTGCGTGACAATTCGGACGAGAGCAGCTGGGTGCTCCACAGTAAATGTGTTAAAAGGCTTTGACCCGTGACGAAACTTCAGATGATACAAAGGTGTATCATCCTGATCCTAATAAAGCTGCCCCCAGACTCCACATAGCCCCCGCCCCCAGACTCCACATAGCCCCCGTCCCCAGACTCCATATAGCCCCCGCCCCCAGACTCCATGTAGCCCCTGCCCCCAGATCCAATTCACACATTCGAACAAGTGTGTTCTTGTACCCAACCACAATCACATCATCCATTTGGCCCAAAACAGGACCACAACAGCTAGCCAATCAGAAAGCAGCATGACCAGGATGTTTGACCATGAACCATAGAAGGGACCCTCCCCCATTACCTAATCCCTTAATAAGCCCCTCCCACCTTTTAAATATTCATAGTTTCTGTTGCATAATCATCATCATTACACCATCAAGTTGCCCGTCTTGTCTTACTAAGCTGCTGGTTTCTCTTGGAACCTAGCCAGCTTTTGAGGGGCGTCAATCCTCAATAAATGCCTATACTTGGATTAGAGGTCGTCTGACTCTGAATTCCTTGAGACAATCCCCACAACACACCCTGAAACCTCACCAATCTCCCCACCCCCATCCCAACGTAAGCATAGTCATCAGAACACAGCAGATGCTTAGGTTTGCTGAATAGTTATGGCTACCACTGATACTGAGGATTTCTATATAAATGAATGAATGGATGAACACCAGACAATATAATGGTGCTGGATATACCAAGAGTCCTAAGATTCTGAAAGGGCAGATGATATGGAACCATTCACCAAACTGGGGGCCAAGAAGTCTAATGAATTCCCAATCATCCCCCCAATGGGTCAGACTTGTGATAAATGCCAATGGGCTCTCAATCCTGCCTCCCTCCATGAGATAACCTCTTAATTGCCTCCCTGCCCCAGGTCTCTCTTTATTCCAAACCATTCTGCCCCCACCCCAGTTGCCAAAGTGCAATTGCTAAAACACAAGTCTTACCATGTCGCCCTATTGCCCAAAAGACTCCAGTCACTCCCTATTACCTCTAGGACAAGAAGAAAGCCCGGACCTGGGATTTCACTGTTATTAGGGAACTCCCAGGGGCGGAAATTCCTCCTGCCAAAGTGGGTTAGCACCTTCTCTACAATGAAGAGAGTAGTCTAGAACCCTGAAAGATGATGGGATTTGGCCAGGGTGGGGCAGGGGTGGGACTTCAATGGGGTCTTCCTGGCTTCCAGGTCCCTATCCACTATAGCACACTGCCTTCACAACCTCTAGGATGAAATACTTACTCTTCATTTGATTTTCTTAGGGTTTTTTTTTTTTTTTAGTTAGTAACTGGGGTAAAGCAACTTGCCCAGGGTCACACAGCTAATAAGTGGCTGAGACCCAATTTGAACTCATATCCTCCTGATTCCTCACCTTTTGCCTGGACCATTGCAACTAGTCTGTGTTCGGTCTCCCTATTTCCAGTGTCTCCTTTCTCTAATCCATCCTCTCTATAGCTGCTAAAGTGATATTCCTAAAACACAGTTCTAACCATGTCTCTTTCCTGCTCAAGAAGCTTCTGTGGCTCCCTATTACCTCTAGGGTAAAACATAAACTTGTCTGTTTGGCAGTTGAAGCCCATCATGGCCTAGCTACAAACTACCTTTCCAGTCTTATTATATACCTTGCACATAGGAACATCTTATTTGCTGAAAGGGGCTAAAAAAGGACATTTGTGTGAAAAAATAAAGTGACAATATGGTTTAAGGAACTGAGAGAAAAATGCCTCTCAGATAAATTTGCTAAGATGCATGGTATGGACTGATCTCTAAATGAGATCACTGGCATCCAGGCCTGCAGTCTAGAGTCATGGGTTGTCCTGGGCACATGAATTTCTTTACTCATGTTCCTGCCCAGTTCTTCTAAATGTGTGCCACTAACTCCCCCTGAAAACTCTGTGCATTGGTGGGAGAAAGTGACCCAGATTTATGGATGGTTGATTATGTTACTGTAGCGATTTTGCCTTCTATTGAATGAATATTATTATTGCTGCTTTTACCTTAATGTTTAGTAAATGTTTCATATTTAAGAGTCAATGTGTCATTGAGATTGATTTTGTGTAGCGAGAAAGCACATCAGTGGGGGCTTAGGAGTTATAGCGGAGAGTAGTAAGAATGCACTTTCTGGGGCAGCTAGGTGGTACAGTGGATAGCGCTTTGGCCTTGGAGTCAGAAGGACCTGAGTTCAAATGTGACCTCAGATACTTGATGCTTACTAGCTGTGTGACCCTGGGCAAGTCACTAAAAAAAAAAAAAAAAAAAAAAAAAAAGAATGCATTTTCCCCACACAAGGGTTATCCCTAGGTCTTTGACAGTTGAATTATAATCACTGGACCTGCTGGTGTGGATGCTGGTGGGATGAACAAAACAACTCCAGTCCAGGAGCAGAGAGCTTAGGGTGAGCTGGGGTCTATGCCACTCCCAGGCTCACTCCAGAGTCCAGCCAAACGGGCCGTCTCGCTGCTCCTCACATGATCCTCCATCTCTCCCCTCTATGCCATGCACTCCCTGTCCCCCAGGCCCAGAACGCCCCCCTTCCTTACCTCTACTTCTTATAATCTCTAGTTTCCTTTAAAGCTCAGTTCAGGGGTCACAGGAAGGGACAGGCTCTTCCTGATTCTCTCCCTTTCCCAAGTTTTGAGGGCCTCCCTGCCCCCAAATTATTGCACATTTATTTTGTACGTCTCTAGTATATGTGTTTATCTCTATATATTTGTGTGTATGCGTATACATACGTACATGTATATATACATGTAGACACACATGTTTTTTCCCTCAATATAATGCAAGTTCCTCAAGGGCAGGGAAGGTTCCTTTTTTGGTCTCTGGATCCAGGGCCTGGCACATAGTAGGTGTTTACAAATGCTTATTTATGGATACTCCCTGTGTGACCTTGTACAAGTCATAGAACTGCTCTGTGCCTCAGTTTCCTCATCTGTAAAATGAAGGAGCTAGAATGGAGGATGTCTGAGAGACCTTTCAACTCTATCTGAAACCCTATGATCACTTCAATGATGGATGGATTGAGAGAGATGATTTTTAAGTATTACACGAAGCAGAGCATCGCCAGCTAGGAAGGGCTGCCGTGACAATCCCTTTGTGTTGGTCGGATGGCTGAAGGCTCTCCAGCCAGCTCAGCAGCTGTGCCAAACCCCCCAGACTCCCCCTCACGGGGTGGGGGGGGATCTTGCAGGGGGTGGGGTGGGGGGATGGTTTTGTGGTTACTGTATTTTCCTGAGTCCTTCAAATTGCTTAATTGCTGAGCTCCACCTTTTGGAGCAAATGCTGCCTTCATGTGTTCTGTTCCTGGGGGAGTAGCAAGGTCTTGTCTCTGGCCAGGCCTCCGCCACCTGCCGCCAGCCTCTGACTCCCAGTCTGCAGTAAGCCAGGCCTGAGCCGGTCCCACATTCACCTCTCCAGCCTTATCAGTCACAGCTTCGCCTGTGTCTGCCCCTGGCTCATCCTTCTAAAGTGGGAGAGGGATGGGGACAACCAGCCCCAATGTCACTGCCCCACTTCCAGAGCAGTGAGAGGGGCTCCCGAAGCCTCGTTTGGTTTCCAAAAGGAGCAGGGAGAAAAAGGGTCATCGGGTCCAGCCCGTCCATTTTACACAGGAGGAAAGCAGGCCTGGAAAGGGGACTCCAATTCACTTCACTTCAATAAGCAGTTATTAATGCTTACATTCTACTAGGAGTAGAGAAGTAAATACAAAACAAATACAAGGTAAATACAGGCTAATTCCGGGACAGACAGTTTTAACTAGGGAGAGAACCAGGAAAGGTCTCGGGTGGGCCAGAGCAGTGCAGCTGAGCGTTGGAGAAAGCCAGGGAGGCTGGGAGGCTGAGGATTGACTGGCAATGAGGCCGGGGAGCAGCAGCCATTGGAAGGGGAGCCTGAGAACACCAGGTCTGCCCCTCTGACGGAAGCAATAGCATGCAACCAGCCTGGAAGAGTGATCTGGGGCCAAACGGCGGGAGTGTTGACGCCAAAGGCAACATGGGGGCATTAGAACTTCTTAACCGGTGATCTGTGCTTGGGTATCAGTTTACAAGTATGTGGAGGGTAGGTGGGAGCAGGGGGCGGTCGGGGTCATTAGTCCAAGATCAGGGAGACCCACTCTTCAAGCAAATGGGCAGAGCAAAGAGGCACAAGCCATCCCTGGTTCTCTACCCCTCCTCACCCCAGCTTGAGCGCTGATCTGCACCCTTCAAGTCAAGGGTCATTTAATAAATTCTTACTATCTGCTGCGAGAAACAAATCCTGTCAAGGAGTCCTGAGCTGATTCTCGGCAGGGCGAAGATGGACTTCAGTTCATTCTAGGAACATCTATTAAAGCACCTACTGTGGGCAGGGCAAAGCAAGCACAGACTAATGGAAGGAACTGAGAAGATCTGGGAGGACTTCTAGGGATGTTTGTATCTGAAATTTTTATCTGGTGCATAAGTGAATTACTTGGGGCCTGCTGGGTACATGGGCTGGGGGCAGGGCCTCAAAGGGCGCACACGCAGCCTGAAATGTCAGGTCGGTGCCGCTTTGGCCTTTCCCTGGGTCCCCAGCGTTTAGCACAGCCATGGGTGGGGGCTCAGTAAGTGTTTGCTTCCCCTGCTGCCTCCCCACCTCAAGCACAAACTCACCTGTGACTGGGTCTTCCATTACACCAAGCCAGGGGGCAAAAAATCTGGAGTAGAAGTCATAACCTTGGGTCTTTCCACCTCCCTCACCTTTCACGGTGAGCATGAGTCCCTGCACTTTCCCTGTATTTTCAATCTTTGTCAGATCCCTTGCATTCACTTCCAGGTTCTCTAGGAAGGACCTTGTAGAAGGATGGAGAGGCAGCATCACATATTTTGCACCCCTTGCCAACCCCTGATACTATTAAACAGGCACGGTTCTGTACAGGGTCCCACCTATACCCCCCTTATTTGTTATACTCCCCATCAGAGAGAGGGAAAAGAGAAGGACCAAATGTGACCAAGTCTCTCTTTAATAAAGAACCTCTAGTGGTCAAAGGGATGGCTAGTGTTACTGTATGTGCCACAAAGAGGCAAAGACAGAGGAAAAATCTCTGGAAACTAAGCAGTCCAAAATGTGCTTATGCTATTAGAAATGCATGTGTGGCAATAAATCATGCCTCCTTTTCACAAGTCATGGGTCACTTACGCAAAGGACAATGCGAGGACAGAGGCACACGGTGACTGTAAGCAGCCCAGGGCATATGGTCAATGATATCAAATTCATACACCACCTGAAAATGGGGCGCTATCCCAAAATACAGCAGTGGTGCCCAGAAAATGCCAAAAAATACAACAAAACAAAAACCCTGGAGGAATGCTGGTAGCATGTTAGATGTATCTCCAGGGAGAATTTACAAAGAAGGAGGCCAGAAATCACCCAGGATGAGAAGGCATGGAGGGGCTAAAATCAGCTCCCGGGCAGGAAAGCCTCAAAGTTTACCTTCCGTAAGAGTCCTCAATCCGAACAAGGAGGAACTTGGTGTCTGGAGAATAATGGACGTCCTGAACTAGCACGTTGTCCAGCGCCAACTGGTGAGGAGTTGAGACAAAAGGCTTCTCAAGATGGAGTCACTGGTCACCCTCCGCTTTTACAGCCCCCAGCAGCCTGCGGGACCAGTAACACCAGAGAGACAAGGACCCCTAAGAGCCTTTTCTGCCCCCATCTTGCTCACACGGCTAGCTCGGTGCATGCCTGAACTTGGCCCAGGCATTCTTCACCTTGTTCAGACCCCTTTGACAGTCTGGCGAAGTCTACGGACCCCATCTCAGAATTCAGACTGGCTGAGATTCTATTTACCCTTCCCAAGTCTGTGCTTCACCAATAAGTAATACTCATCCTGTGAGCTCACAGTTTGAGCCGAGAACCAACCTTGATTAAGTCCTGGACTTCCTTAACATCCTAGATTAAAAAACAAAAATGAAATCCATTTAGGATGTGCTGCTACATGTAGCACACAGACGATGGAAACAGCTAACTGATGGCCAACCTTGTGATGGGTGGGACAATGTGGTAGATCCATGATGATCCCGTCTTCTGCCTGTCTGGCTTTCAGTTCCCCACTTAGAGTGACAAAAGTTAGAGTCGGATTCATATTTTCTGCCAAAATAAAATAGGATTTTAATTGAAAAAAAAAATCAAGACAGAAGAAAAAACAACTTTTGCTCTTTTGTCATAAGAGATTGTCTTTTTAGTTTTTCTTAACCCTTGATTGGCAGCTGGGCGTCTACCTAGGCAGATGGCGGCTCCATAGAGAACTGGTCCTGGAGTCGGGAGACCTGATTCCAAATCCTGCCTCAGTTTTCTCAACTGGGAAATGGGTATAAAAATAGCTCCTACCTCACACGGTTGTTGTGAGGATCCAGTGAGATAATAATTTAAAGAGCTCAGCATGATGTGCGGGACACAGTAGGTGCTACATAAACACTAGCTCTGACTCGCTCTGTTCACCACTGTGCTTTCCTGCTTCTTCTCTGCCTCTGCTTTCTCTCCTCCCCCCCAAGCCCCACCTAATCCCTACTCATCCTTCACACCCCAGTTTCTTCATGAAGATTTCCCTCCTTGGCCAGCCAGAAGACTGACCTCCCTTCTCCAAACTCCCACAGCCCTTGATCTGCAACTAGAAACACAGGACTTAGTTATGGAAAAGACCTTGGAGTTAGTTCATCTAGTCAAATCCATTTCCCAGGTAAGGAAATTGAGGCCCAGAAAGGTCTAGTGACATCATCATCATCCTCAGAGCAGCTACCTTTATATAGCTTTTCAAGGTGTGCAAAGTATCTTACAAATATTATCTCAGTTCATCTTCTCTCCACAATCCTGTTGTGTAATTTCAGTCATGTCTAACTCATCATGAGCCCATTTAGGGTTTTCTTGGCAAAGACACTGGAGTGGTTTGCCATTTTCATTTTACAGATGAGGAAACTGAGGCAAACAGAGTTAAGTGACTTGGCCAGGGAGGGTCACACAGCTAGTGTCTTGAGGCTGGATTTGAACTGAATCCAGGCTTGGCACTCTATGCACTATGGCGCCACCTAGCTACCCTAGAAACCCTTCAAGGCAGGAACTATTATCCCCACTTTACAGATGAGGAAACTGAGGCAAAGAGAGGTTAGGTGACTTGGACCCAGGATCATCTGGACAATAATTGTCCAAGGTGGGATATGAACTCAGGTCTTCTTGACTCCAAGTCCAGGACTGCAATGTCTAGACTTGCCCAGAGTCTCCCAGAAAGCCTTGAATTTTCTCATTCCATCTTGTGCTAAAGATTTGAGCATCTGACAGTTCTCTGAGGGCACATGTCTCCCCATTAGAATGGAATCTCATTAAGAGTGGGGATTATTTTGTCCTTTGTATTTGGGTTCCAAGAGCCCATCTCCAGAGCTTGGCCCAAAGCAGTCACTTAATAAATTCTTTTGTTTGTTTGTTTGCTTGTTTGTTTGTTTTTGGCGAGGCAATCAGGGTTAAGTGACTTGCCCAGGGTCACACAGCTAGTAAGTGTCAAGTGTCTGATCTGAGACTGGATTTGAACTCAGGTCCTCCTGACTCCAGGGCCGGTGCTCTATCCACTGAGCCACCTAGCTGCCTCAACTTAATAAATTCTTAATTGAGCCTCAGTGGCTAACCTCCAATCTCTTTGTGTTCTTGGCAGCCCCTCATACTGTGCTTCCCACCCAGGGGAACTTCAATAAATATCGGTTTTGGAACCAATGGAGGACTGGCCCGATTTGTTCTTAATCCAAGATCTTCTGCTGTTTCCAGAGAGAGAGAGACATAACAACAAAGATACGTGACTTATTTTGTGGAACAACACGGCCGAGGAAGCCAATGTAGCATGACCACAGAAAGAGACCTCAGTCGTTGGCGTGAACCACCTTAGCCCGAAGCGGGAACCTTTGTAGAAAAAAAAGAGAAGGTTAGTGATTCAGTGAGATCCACTCAGGACAATCTGGCCTGCTTCTGCTGCTGTTTTCTAAATATTTTCCCAAGATGCATTTGGGGCAGGAAAATGTTCTTAAAGGAGGGAAAAAAGCTAAGACTGTCCATTCCTTAGAGCTTAAGAGAGCATGGTAGGTAGGAGGCTGAATCTTACAGCCCAGAGGAACACCACCGGCATATGACAAATTGTCAGGATGATTCCCCAGGAGACCAACTTAACAGAAATCCCTCCGCTTTGACAATTCAATACCCACATGAAAAACAAAAAACCTCTTTCTCTTCCAGATCCTAGGTCCTCTCAAAGGAAAGTTGCTCCAAGGATGTAAAAACTTGCTCACTTTGGGTAAAGCTGTCCGTTGGGTGGAGCTTCTGGATAAAAGCTGTTTCAGAATGGTTCATTTCTCTTGCAATTTTTTGTCGCATGTCATCATCCAGTTCCTAAATTGGGGGGAAGGTCCAGAAAATACCCATCAGGCTTCCTCAGCACTGGGTGCCAGGCACAATAGTACCACACGTTAACAAAGAAGTGGAGAATCAGGGAAATTCTATTGATAAAAATTCTTTAATCTGGTACCAGATGGAATAGCAGGCTGTGATCTACACTGGGGTTAGGACGGGAAGATGAGGGAAAGAACACAACCTCAAACGAATATGGATCCATTGAAGCCTTGAAAGATCACATGGAAACTGCTGCTAAGGAATTCAAGACACTTACAGAAATTCTACAACAGAAATGCATATTCACAGGGCATCTTTCCAAAGAATGGGATCATAGTCTGAGGGCTAGAAAAGACATCAGGAAACCTCTAATCCAGCCCACCCCTCCTTCTACATAGAAGGAAGTTTAAGATCACAGATAGGGAGCTGGAAGGAATCCTAGAGATGGCCTAGTTCCGTCCTCTGAGGAGAGCCCAGCCCTTAGGACCAGGAGCAGCATCCCCCATGTGGATTCTAGACAGCCTTAGACAGGTATTCTATGACTGTTTCTTTTCCACCTACTATGTGGTGGAGGAAAGGCTTTTGGAATGGTTTCTGAGGCAGGAATGGGCACACGGGCCCCCACCAACTCAACCTTGTTCTCTTTCTTGCCTGGCTGCATTCAAGTGAGGAGGCAATAGCTGCTGTAAGCCTCCAGGTGGCTGAAAGGAAGACACCAACACATTGCCCTATTGTGGCTTCTGTCTCTGTTCTATCTTTTCTTTCCTGATTTAGGGGAAGGAATATTGAGATGGCAAAGACCAGTCTGCAAGCTTGTGAGCTTCAAAAGGTCAGAAGAGGAAGCTGCCACAGGTCCAGCCACTGGACGGGGGAGGGAGCAAAGCCCCAAGTGATGTGGCTTCACCCAGCATAGCGTTGGAAGGAAGGCAGCTAAGAGTGGATGGCTTCATCCATTTGACAGGCTGCTTTTAGAAGTGAACTGGGTGATCAATTAGGGAATGGGTGGACAAGTTGTGGTGTATGATTATGATGGAATATTATTGTGCTATAAGAAATAATGAGCAGGATGGCTTCAGGAAAAACCTGGAAAGATTTACATGAACTGATGCAAAGTGAAATGAGTAGAACCAGGAGAACATAGCACACAGTAATAGAAATATTGTAAGATGAACAACTGCGAATGACTTAGCTATTCTCAGCAATACAAAAATCCAAGACGATTACAAAGTGAAAACAAACGCTAAAAATTATTTTTACATGTAACTGGAAAAACAAAATATCATAAAAGACAAAAAAGGAAAATGTCCTTTTGTAAAAATTGATTGATGTTAATCGGTTAGATGACACTGGGGCCCTAATCACCAGGTCAATGAATAAGGGAGATAAGCGTAAGTGGCGATTGATGGTGGAAAGGACAAAGTAGAATGGGGGCTTGAGTCAGTAGTCTTAGAAAGATACCCTAAAAGGCCAAGAGGGCAATGTAGCCTTTCTCTGGGAATTCAGCTAGCCAGCAGGAGTGAAACAGTAGCTCCAAGGCTTACACAGGCAACGTAAAGAGGAGGAATCTGAATCCCACAAGGAGTTACACAGGGAATGTTTGAAAGACGAACTTTGAACCTGGACCCTCTGTTTCCAATCTAATACAACTTTCACTCCTCTGTGCTAGCTCATATCTATGAATAAAGCTGGAAAAGGCCCTAAGAGACCTAAGATTGGCCTCTTGTCTTTAGATAGTTCCATACCTAAAGTATCTAGGACAGACTGTCCATGCTCTCCCCAGGGACTCCATAACCTTCATTTCCATGGTTAAATCAGGAGAAAAACATCCTTGTTAGAGTACACTGAGGCCTAAAGACTGTGGGGCTTCATTAAGTCACATGAAGGACCATATGGTACATGCTGTGTCGGGACTTTGTGGGTAAATACGGAAGTGGAGGACGTGGTCCCTTCTGTTAGGAGTTGACAATCTCATTGGAGAGTCAAGCCACAGACATGTACGTTAATTAATCATCAATTCATTAACAAGGGTTTATTATGTGCTATTTACTATGTGACAGAGTTTCGATAGTCGATGTCTCTTTCCTCCCACACCCTCGGACCCTAAGAGTGTTCTGGAGCAGCGTGCTGCCCCTTTGGGAATCCACCGTGACTGGCCAACATCCTTCTCATCTTCATTCACTCCCTGGCCAGCGGCTCCTTCCCCAAGGCCTACAAATATATCCAGGTCTGCCCCATCTTTAAGAACCCTTCAACCAACCCTGTCAAATATCGTTTTCAACCTCTACTTCCTTACTGCTCATTCACTTTTCACCCTCGTGCAATCTGTCTTCTAACACTTCTCCCCGACTCCTGAAACTGCTCTCTATGGTGATTGGTGGATGGTCATTTAACTGTTCAGTCTGATGGCCTTTCCTCAATAATCACCATCCCTCTTGATCGAGTTTGACTTTACTGATCACTACCTTGTTTCGGTTCACTCCCAATCTGTCTGAACACTGCGTTAAAGTCTCCATTGCTGGTTCTTAATCCGTGCCCTGCAACCCAGGTCTCTGTTGTGGGTGTTTTTCTCTTTTCTCTCCACATTCTCTACCTTACTGACCTCATTGGTTCCCATGACTATGTAGGTATACGAAGTAAAGGAATATTATTGTGCCGTAAGAAATGAAAACATGAGGCAGCTAGGTGGTGCAGTGAATAGAGCTCTGGCCTTGGAGTCCGGAGGACCTGAGTTCAAATTTGGCTTCAGACACTTGACACAACTAGCTGTGTGACCCTGGGCAAGTCACTTAACCCTGATTCCATTACCCCCATTCCACTTTGTCCTTTCCACCATCAATCGCCAGTTACACTTATCTCCCTTATTCATTGACCTGGTGATTAGGGCCCTAGTGTCATCTAACCGATTAACATCAATCAATTTTTACAAAAGGACATTTTCCTTTTTTGTCTTTTATGATATTTTGTTTTTCCAGTGACATGTAAAACCCCTCACCAAAAAAAAAAGAAATAAATAGAAGTGTTCCGTAATGTGGCATCATCTGCATTCATCCACTGGCCAACCCATAACTCCATAAGGTTAACTGAGGAATTCCTTTACATTTTGCTGTCCAGCAGTAGAAAAGCTTCTCCTTTTTACCTTGCTAAGACACCTATGCCAAAATATGTGAACATTTCAACTTAACAGTACACGAAAGCTGTCCAGATCCTTGTTCCTCCACTCCCCTCCCAACTGAGGCCTTCGTACTTGCTTCTCCCTAAGAGCTCAGGCCCACTCCCACCCTCTGTGACTATTAGTCTGGCCTTTTAATCATGGAGTACCTCTGAAAGCAGCTCACTCCCTATTAAGCTCTAAGCTTTGCACCCCCAGTGCCCAGCACAGTGCCCAGCATACAGTAAGCACTTAATAAATGCTTGTTAAAAAAAAATGCTTGTTGACTCAACAGATGAATGAATATACCCGGTGACATATTCTTGTTGCCTAGGTCCTGACTCATAGCATCCAAGAACTTTTGGTCTGGGGTCCTCACCCCTGACTGCCAAGAACTAAATAAACAAACAAACAGATAAATAAATGAAACCCTCATAACAAATATACAGAGTTCAACCAAACACATTCCTGCAATAGCCATATTCAAGAATGTATATCTCCTTCTGCATTTTAAATCGATCACCTCTCCAGCAGGGGGTGGGCAGTGGTGTGCTGGTCAATGTTTAATAACAAAACTGAACCTCAAAGCACAATTTAATCTGCATGGCCAACATTTTTGCCATCTTAAGTCTGGGCAATCAACAAAAATAGAAATCAAGCCCTGGCTTGTAACCTTTGCCCATTTCTCAGGTGGGAATGCTTATACTGAACATTTACCACCCTATCAGCTCTCCCTCAAGTAGGCAGCAGCTGAGCCCGCCCGGAGGTAGGTGGTGGGCTTTATCTTCAGTCCTCCAGACTTGTGATTTGTCATTGCACTGACATGACCTTTCAAGTCTTTCAAAGTTATTTTTCTCTATAATGTTGTTGTCATTGGATAAATTGCTCCCCGAGTTCTGCTCATTTGGATATGCATCAGTTCACAAAGGTATTCCCAGCTTCCTCTGAAGTGGCCCATGTTATCGTTTCTTTTGCTAGTAAGTGTCAAGTGTCTGAGGCCATATTTGAACTCAGATCCTCCTGACTCCAAGGCTGGAGCTCTATCCATTGCGCCACCTAGCTGCCCCATGTTTTCATTTCTTATGGCACAATAATAATCCTTTACTTCATATACCATAAGGTTTAGCCTTATTCCCCAATAGGGGAGCAGCTCCTTGGTTCTGTCTTTTGGTCACTACAGAAAGAGCTGCTATAAATATTTTGTACGAATAGGTCCTTTTCCTTTGATGCCTTTGGAGCACAGTAGTCTGGTAGTAGCGTAGCTAGGTCAAAGGTCATACAAAGCTTTGGGGGACTTTGTAAGCCTTAAAGTCCTCACATTTATAAATGCTAGCTCTCCAAGGTAAATAAAGAGGTAAGTGGTTGGGGAGTGCTGTAACTGTCAGGGAGAGAATTAAATTTTGAGAGCTGATAATCACTTAAGCACCTACTATGTGCCAGGCACTGGAGATGAAAAGACAAAAACCAAATGATTCCTGTCTTTAAGGAGTGTATACTCCATAGGGGGAAAACAAACAACTATACATTCACATGTTAGCATAAAATATATACATACAAAGACAGAAAGATGTTGGGTGAATAGGTGGGAATTATCCACTCAAAGAAATGACCCACAGTCATTACATCTCTGTGAAAACCCCCTGGTGCTAGAAAGGATTGAGGATTTGGAGTCAGAGGACCTGGGTTCAAATCCCAATTCTTTGCATTTACGGTAGTTACCCCGCCTCCCTTATCCTAAAATGAAGGGGTCGGACTCCGCCCCTAAGCTTCCTTCCAAGTCTCCGACCTAATAAATGCTTTTTCTAATGGAATCATCCTCCATGGCAGTGGACCGACAACTGAGTCAGCCTTT